CCTTGTAACCCCATTGGGCAAAACTCAAAGTGACAAATCAATAGTCAGAACTACTATTTGGGTTTTGTACATTATGCATGCATATATGCATTTGGACTAAAGGTAATGTATATGTATTGGTACTGCTTTGAACTATGATTTATTGACGCTTAGTACCGTATTTTTTTTGTTGAAAGGGAACCTGTCAGCTATCATTAGAATGACTTCTAGAGTAGCGATCATTGCATGAAATGAGTGGATTTCAGTCTGCCAGGCGAGCCTGCACCTATGATGCTATTTAAAGAACTAGAACGTGTAAGGGTGGTTTTTTGACAGCAGTGCTTCACGTAACAACTGTACTGTCTCTGGGACAAGGAATCAGAAAGAAAGACGGAGAGGCAACGCTAGCGTTAGTCATCCAACATGGTCATTAGAGCCACAGGGCTAAGGCACCGATCGACATGCAGAGGAAAAGGGATCCGCCTGCAAGACGATCAAAGCTCCTCATTCCCGAGGATGCGCTATTGACGGCACGATTGGAGAGTGCAGCTGAAGTCACACGTGCTGCAAGGTGCTCTGGACGCGATCCCGAATCAGGCCCAGACTTGGAACCAGGATTTGGACCGGCACCTACCACGCCCGAGGTAGCTCCTTGAAGAGTGGGAAGAGGTTGGTGAGAATCCACGGCCCATCCACCTGGTGTCGAAGTGGGGCAAGATGCAGGCCTGATAGTGGAAGTCGATTTCATGTAGTCCGACAAGGCTACTCCAGTAGGCCTTAACCTCGCCCATTGCGCTTTCAGGTTGTGGAAGTCGGGATCCACCGGAATAGGTTCTCCTTGGCGAGTAAAGCCATCCTGTACGAGCATTTTGGCGGGTGAGGCGCCTGAGGGTGGACCATATTTGACCAGACCGTAGTCATTGGCCTCCTGGATCCATTCATAGACAATAGAGCCAGACCAAGTATTTGACATCTCAGGACCGAAAATGGCAGCCTGGTCTTCAAAGGTCCGTGGCCGTGCCACGTTGCAGCCTGTTTCTGAGAAGAAGATCGGGATAGGGTAGTCGCTTGCATGGCTCTGAAGTCTCTTGTAGCCGGATGTCTCGTACGATGAGGGACCACACCACTCATAGGCATTAAGTGAGAAGAAATCCAGTCGGTCAGCAGATTCGGGACGACAAGCGAGATAATTTTGCAGCATGGGTCGCAGCTCTGCAATATCAGCTGCTGAGTAACCAACCGGGATGTCCCGGTAGCCTTTTTCGTTGCGGTACGATTTGATATCATGCGCGGCGGCCAGGACATACGGGGCGGCGGCCGAACCTTCCCTAGTGTTGATGACCTCGTTGCCGACGAATACACCGGCGGTGTTGTTATATTTTTGGAATTCGTCCAACACAGCCTTATAGCGATCGAATTGGGAATGTGTCCACTGTGGTTTGTCCTAGATGTGGAAGTCAGCATGGGCTCTACCCAACTAATGTCTATGCGAGTCCTGACCTGGTTGATTGACGTATCGAATGTGTCTAGATCCACGAAGAGGTAGATTCCTGCGGCCGCAAGTGCCTCCATGCAACCATCATGATTAGCCTTGGGATCGACGTGGTAAACACGGATTGCATTAGTGCCCAGCTCGGCCATGCGAACAAAATCGCGCTTGCACTGTGCGGTGTCAACCAAGGGATCCTCCGGGATGAGTTGATAAGCAATGCCTACGTGGATTGCACCAAATTAGTGTAAAGTGCGGATTCAATTCGCCAGGGAGGCTCACCCTTCAGAAAGTACTGAGTACCATCCTCGTAGAAGAACTTGGAGCCAACCGCGGAGACGGTCTGTATCGCATCGACTGGTAAGGCTTGGAAACCTCCCAGCCAAGCAAGTGCAGACAGAGTGGACAACGGCCGCATGGCTTATGGGATGTAAATGCTGTGAAGGGGTTACAGGATGGGGTTTAATTCAAGACACCTCCGAGATGTACAGGTGTGTGCATCCGAGTTTCCAGTATGCGGAGATCTGAATGACGAGTATGATATGATATCTATGGACTGAATAAGAAGGAGCGACTGCATTCAACAATAGATGGGTATAAATGATATCGTCCCGTGTCTGACACAATTCAGGCCTTATTGTCTCAACCGGAGAAGAAAACATGTCTATTTTAAACGGCGAAAGATCATACAACGATACCATTCTTCATGATAGCATCTAGTATGCTTCCCCTACCTCCAGCCATACGGCGTGCTGCCGTCTGCCCTGGAGACACATGCATGCCGGGTTTCTGAGATGTAGAATGACGTCGATGGCATTGCTTAGCCTACTCTGTAACGAAACTGTCGCCTTGAGAATGCCACAGTGTGACAGTGTGCGATAGATCAGAGAGTGAGATCTATCTCAATCTTGATCTGAGATGTTGCCGCGGGGTTAAGGAATGTACAATGCACATACGTAGAGGGGGAGGTGCTATGTAGCGAGGGGACGTTGGGAGGAGAAGAATGTCGCAACGCATGGGGAATGTCAAGTCATCCTCGCACAAACCCGAGTACATGGGGTGAAAATTGGCATGGTCCAAGATCGTCGGGGTGTCTAGACGATCCTCCCCAAATGAAGTTAAGGTGTCCATGGGGGAGGGCCTGAACGATCACGACGTTTGTGTAGTATTCAGGACTTTGTATGGTTCACGGCCGGAAAAAGCCCCTGATGGAGATAGCGAGCGACTTGGACGCACCAATTAGAACCGGGAGATCTGGACTCCAATGTCCGTGTTAGCCCGACGCATTCCTGCCTAAGGCAACTAGGTCAATGATTGCTTCAGCCGTCGACCGATGATATAATGGGCCATCTGGCTACTGGTTTCACTATACTTCGTACTTCGGACGTAATTAGTGCTGTTCTTAGTGACTTGTCTCATGGAGAAGTGGATGTTGTTTCTCGTGAAAACTTGGAACATTGCCACTAATGCAATAATGGCCTGCACGAGGGGATTGACGAGGGGGTTCGGAATTCGATCGAGACCCTTGAGGGCCCCACAAGGCAATTAAATTAGGATCAACTGTACCCAAATGGGCCATTTCAATTAAACAAAATCGGCTCGGAGGAAGCCTGACCGCCAGAGAAAGAGGGAAAAAAGGGGGTGAAGGAGTCGACAATGAAGGAAAGGATTCTGCTGTGTGCTCTGTGCGAGACCTATCGAAAGAATCTCAAACAGTTAGGAGACCGTCGGAGATGAGCGCTCATGAACGATTTAATGAAAAGGAGGAGTTGGAGATGCGTTAACGGTGACACTAAAAATAAGATCGACGAGTGCTTGCGTGGAAGACGGGTCTTCACCTGATTTGGAACACCCCCCTTCCCGCATGCGTGCGAATTTCCCTGTTCGACCTAAAAAAGATCGCATGGAGCTATTAAGTATTTAGTACTACCGACGCTCCTCGAAATACCTTCAATTCTTCTCCTTTTCCCTTTTCATTCTTTCCCTTCTCCCGACCTTTCGCCTCCCCTCGATTATCTCCAGACGACAAAGCGATTGTGCTGGACCATGCGATCCGTGGTTCTACGGCTCTCCTCCACAATTTCTATGTCTGTCCGAATCGGTCGCCTTCCGTAGTCGACGTCATCCAAAAAGTTACAATTACGCGACAAAGTGTGCGTTTTCATCGTCGACGCAATTGTCTCGAGTTTTGCTTTTTCCTTCAACCGGTACCCTCCCGGACGCATCCTTGCGATACATTCACTGTTTCAGAATGTCGACTAGCGGCGTTGTTTCACCATTTCGGATCTCCAGGAAGGATGGAGAGAAGCTTGATCGCAATGAGGCATTTATAACGGTTCGAGAGCACCTGAGGCGCCAAGATATGGGCATGGATGCCCCGAGGTATGTTTGACAGGATACCCACCCGGGATGTACCATTGTGGCTGACCTTTCATCACCGCAGCTTCTGCTCCCACCATCGCCATTCTTGCTCCGATCAAGACAAGGAGTCCTTCCGTCTGCATCGCGATATTATCCACACCCTCTTACTTCCTTTGTTTCTGCTTCACCACCAAGCCTCCCGCGTCGCCGCCAGGGCACTGCCCAGCCACAAGGGAGCGGAGTCGGAGCGGGCATTTCGAGGGGAAGCACGCAGTGCTTATGCCTGGCTTCAATGCATCCTCACCGAGGAGCATGATTGGTACCTGACCGAACGATGCCCCGCTTGCATCGTCCTGCACGTCTTACATTCCGAGCCGACGATTCGTTTTGTAGCCGTGGCTTGCCTTCTGTCCGACCACCTACAAGGCCTGGACCTGCTCCACGGGAAAACTCGGTTGCCCAGCTTCGACTTTTGGCTTGAGGCACTAGAAACAGCTGTTCGTGAAGATCCTTTCTGGGGCCATGATTTCTGGCCCGACATCGAGTACCGTGCATGTGCTTTGACCGACGGCGTCAAGCAGCTGGTGCTGCAGTGCCTGGAACTCCGATCTGCGTTGGATCGGCAAAGCCACCAATCCCAAACATATGATTCTAGTGCTCACTTCCGTCGTGAGTCGTTGCGGCAATCAAACCACCCAATTATGATGAAGCCGTCTGCTGCTACATCACGAATGACTGGAGAAGAGCAGAAGATCTTCTCCAAGGTTGCGGGTAGCCGTTGCATGACATCGTATTGGCAAGATCGGCCACAAAGATTCCATGCTCGCAGACACGGCGATCCCCGCAGAAGATCGGTAACTTCTTGAGCTCATATCGTTGCCTGGTCTAGATTCTCTAGACCTCTAGACGAACAAAACTAGCGCCCCTAACGATTTGATAACGTTAGGAATGTCTTTAGTCCTGCAGGTCGACCCAATTCGGGCTAGTCGGATAGTATGGAGACACGGATGAGCGCCGAAAGAAGGCGCTCGCCCGGATACTTGGCATGACTCACTTCCATGGTAGGCCTCGTATCCCATAAATATCATTGGGAAGGAGGGAATTGGCACGTATTCGCGTTTTTTGGAAATATTCTGCATATCCGGCCTGTTTACCAAGCAATATTACCACCATGGCCTCACACACTACTGATCTCGACCCTCACGCTACCCCTGCGCCCGGCTCACTCAAACAAGTCTACGCGACGTCATCGCCGTTCGAAGAGAAGATTGGCTATTACCGAGCTGTCCGGCATGGACGACAAATCTTCGTTTCTGGTACTACAGCCGTCGACCCTGCGTCCCCAAGCGATGCCCCTCAAATTCTCTTTCCTGGGGACGCCCGTCAGCAGACACGCGTGGCTCTGCAAGAATGCATTCGGGCAGTTCAAGCCCTGGGCGGCAAAGGAGCAGAGAATGTGGTGCGTGTGAGGATGTTTGTCAGTCAACACAAAGATTGTGGAGCTGTTGGGGAAGGATACACTGAGGTGCTGGGGCGTGCAAGCCAGCCGGGGGTAGGCGCGGCTGCAACTATGGTTGTAGTGAACGGATTCGTGGATGAGAGAATGTTAGTTGAAGTTGAGGTTGATGCGATCTTGGAGGATTGAAATGATTATGGGAGGGATCTTGTATACATTTGCAAATCAATAAATAATCCAATTCTCTAGTCCTACTACTATTCAAGAAACTAAATCCCATAACCTCCAGTACTCCGTAGACAATAAACAAGCTGCTTATTGCATCCAATTGGACGACCCCTCGCAGTGACAAAACGCTAACTCCCCTTTAATCCCTAGAATATCTCCGCCAGGGAAATTTAACTCAGGTCAAGAAATGCCATCAATCTCTTGTTCTAAGCAACCACCACCTCTACCAGAAACCAGAAAACCCTAATGCAAGACGTCACCACTGTCCCAGCCAAACAAACAACATCACCTCCACGCAACGCTCTCTCTATCTGAGACAAGTCACTGTGGAGACACGGGACATCATCCGAGAACAAGAAAATTGTGGGCAAAAAGAGAGAAGAAAAAAAGTAAAAAGAAGGACCCCAACATAAAAACTTGTTCTTATTTGATTACGACGTATTTGTTTGTTTATGTAAATTTCCGGGTCCAATTTCTGCGTACCGAGTCTCGTCCCCCTCCAATACATATTTAATAACTAATCTATCGCTAATAATGAGGTGGGGTGGGTGGATGTGGACACCATTTATTGGGAAAATCCCAGTGACAGGGATCTGGCTCAGCATCTGATACTTTTGTAGGTTCAACCTGACACGCGAGGTTTCCTTGGTTGGGGTTTGTTTGAAGATAGGAGGTTCTTTCTTCGCTTGGGGGTGGTGGTTTGGATAATATAGGGTAGGGCTTTCATTTGAGGTTCCATGGATGGATGGGTAAGAATGGCATGGTTTTTTTTCCCCCTCTCTCTCTCTTATTTTTCTTTATTTCTGTATTGGAAATAGGAAATGGTAGTTGGTTGGACGGCATTGTGTCTGTGAATGGTAGTCGTAATGCAAGTTATTTCTTTTTCTTTTTTGGGTTTGGATTTCCTGCGACTACTGACATAGTACTCCTTGTGGATGGAATCAATGGCGGGCTGTGGTTTTGTTTTTGTTTTTGTTTTTCTTCTACAAGGATACTTCTTTTGTTTTCCCCGGTCGTTTTGCCTCTCTTCTCTTTGTATTCGGTTTGTGTGGTTTTAACTGTTCTTCACTATTAGGTACATATTCGGGTACGGATTTTATGTAGTACCTCATTCAAAGGAGAGAATTAGGAAACCGACCATTCGATGGAAAAGAAAATCGCGAGAATGATATCAGGTGCTCCCGGCATATTCCATAAGAAATACGGAGCATAACCGGGCTGACAAGCCCACAGAAGTTAAAACTGCATGCATGTTGCCCAAAGAAGCCAACGGTCAGATATATCCAGAAACGACCTGTACTTACCTTTCTCGCCTGTAGGACACAAACAATCAACAAAGAAGAGAACAACCAACAGAGGACCGTAGTCTTGGGAATTCGAAGCTCAAGAGACAAAACAAAGAAAATGAACGAGGAGTATGACCAAACCTTCCCCCCCGGTGTCTTCCAGATCTGCAACGTTCAATGTATTTCCTTAACAGGGAGGTACAAGATAGATCCGATCCATTTGCGCAGACATACGGAGTACAAGGAGCCCTGACTAGGGCTGGGGCTACCATGGATGCTGTGTACTGTACTGTACTAATGTCTTCTTGGCTCTCGCTTCTCCTGTGCATGTACTGTACGTATGTAAGCAGAGTAACCATGGTCGATGACAAGGCAGCCCAATAATCATAGGCGGTCAGCGATGGGGACAAGTGAGCAAAAGGCCAGATCAAGGCGGATCTCTTCGGCAGCACGGAACTTGAGTCTAGGCGTCAATCCACCTGCAAGCGGCAGTGGAGACTTGATCGGGCGATGCAAGCCATTGGCGGATGGGCCCAATCAGAGCCCGTGAGAGACAGGGCGGGGAAGAATGTCGACGTCAATAATTCTCAATTGTTCTGGCACGACAACTTGTGTGGAAAAAGAAAAGAAATAATAATAATAATAATAATAAATCACCCAAAGACGATAAGTAGTTTATTTCAATAGAGACTAGTAGTTACTTTTTGCTTTTACTTTTCCCGCTTTCCTGAGGCGTATGGATCAGTTTGGTTTCCAATCGTTCCTTTACCGACTTAACCTTTTTTTATTTGCTGGATTTTAGAATTGGGGGATTCTAGACTTGAGGTGGAAGGATGGATGTTGTGCCAGTTCGATATGTAACTCGAGCCGACCAATGAGTGTTGACAAGACAGGAATAAGACTCACCTGCTATTATCTGACTTAAGCCATATGACTTCCAGGAATACCTGGGAGACGTGTATTTATGCTTTTTTTCCAGCACATTCCCAGAGGTCTGATAGTCGGTTGTGCCGAAAGTCTCGTCAAACTGAACTATTCCATACGCTATTGACTGAGTTTTTCCATTCCATCCTACTCGGAAAGGGCGATTGGATCAGGGACTATTTTCCGCTCGGATTGATCAGATTGAACGAAACCACCGGTACTCCCAGTTTGGGTGGTACAATTGCCTTCCTACCGGTCTTCTGCCTTGCTAGATATGGTAGCAGTGATCGAGAATCTAGAAGTGATGCTGGTCCGTATTACGGAGAGATCCAGAGCGGTGGTGACTTGCTCTGTACCCGATGCATACAAGAACAACTTTTAGGTATCCGGTCGGAGTCACGGTGTCCAAAGGGTCCAGACAAAGAAGAGGGAGCACTCCAGATCCGGCCGATCACCAAGTCATCCTCCTTCTGCCACCAAACTCAGATCATATTAAGTCATCCATCCAAGCAAGAGTCATTAATCCCAGACCCCATCCAATTTCCTGAACCACCTCTTGACCAGTGCTCGAACATTCTCCATTCCCAAGGGTCTATCCCCAATGTGAGGCCAGAAAGTGGGTCTCAGGCTTTGGGAGGCAAAAAAATCTGATGGGATTTTTTGGAAGGTCCGTGTATCTCCCGTTACGGTATCGTCAGCTTTTTGTGGACGCTAAGCCCCGATCAGCCACTATGAGGGCCTAGACAGGTCGGCGGCCTACTAGGGGTAAGGCGACTTGCAGTGGTGGTGCTCCATAATTAACACCCTTCTACAATAGGTTAGGGGAGGTAAGCATGGTCAATATCAGAAAATAGTAATCAGAAACCCGAAACCAAATATGTTATGGACAGGAAAGGAGCAGGGACATTATGCTTAAATAGATTCAATAGGGGAAAATTCGAACAGGGCCAAAATTACTGGTAAACATAATTACACGTTAATGCATCTTCTGCACAAGCATTCGATGCCTCCGACTGGACCTCGTGTCATGGATTCCCCAATCAGGCCAAGCCCGCCCGGTCTAGAACGCTGGTGGAAAGTCGCAGCCCGAGGGACAGTCTCTTGTTCTTGTTCGGGCTGTCAGTCTCTTGTGTCTGGGCCTCTGGGTCATTTCCCAAGCGTCATTATTCTCCTTGCGAGCCGCTGGCCTGACGACTCTTCTTCTCTTTCTCTCCTCTTTCTTTCCTTTCTCTTCCTTCTTTCTCTACGGCTTCTCTTTGCTTCCTTTTTTCGTTTTCTTCCCTTTTTCCTGTTTATCTTCCTCTCCTGAAATCTCTCTTATTTCCCCACCGTGTCATCACGATTCATCCCCTCCACCCTCCTCGCTTCCTTCTTTTACCGGGGCCTCGTCCGCCTTCCATTCTTCACTCTCCCGTCCCGTCTTCTTTCAACTCAGCATCCCTCCCACCCCTCCACCAATCTCGCCAAACCCTCTCAAAGTCACCCCCCGCGCGAGACCCACGCTCTTTACGGGATACATCACGGACAGGACGGCTTTTGACTGTATTCCACCAATCCCTGGAAACCATCCATGCTAGCGTAGCCGTCGTCGCTGTCGGGGAATTCGTCCACAGACTATTCTTCGATCACATCTGCTCGGCCTCGCCAATTGGATGCATCAGCCACAGTGCCATGGACCGTATCGGCCTTCATCTGTGGTGCGAGATAACTTTGTCATGTGTTCGCCATACTCAGACTCTAGCGTTTCCACCAATTCCTCATATATGCCTGGGGAACCTGGCTCACCGCAACAGGGAGCCGTGACCTCTCCAGAGAGACAGAATTCATCTCAACTAAGCCCAGTATCTCCTCAGCAACAACAAGTTCTATTTTCCTCGGACACAGGCTCCGGCCGCCTTAAACGGCGAGCATCTCAGGGATCACTCCTAACGAAGCCATCCCCCGTGTCTCGCTTTCTATCGAGAAGCAACGCCTCTTTACATATCCCATCCTTCGACCATCCCGGCCTTTCGAAGACGAAGTTATCTAGTCGAATCGAATCGCGCACCCAATCAGCTGATTCTCGTCTCCGTCTTCATACTACTTCTGCGGCGTCGAGCTCGCTGGCGACTCGCGCATCCCAGTCCACTTCTACGGTGTGGGACTTCGAGACCAAAGGCGACTACCCCACTGCTCTCCCCCCAACACCTCCGGAAGACGACGAGTACGTAGCGTGGAATCCTCGGTCCGGAATGCTACTTTTCGAATCGCCTTTGAGCAGAGAGCCTGGGCCAATGCCCATGGACGAAGGTCCTAATGTGGACAGCGCTGCCAGAGGTGCTACTTCAGACGGTCTGAGTAGTCCATCCGATCAACTCTCGAACGTTTCTCCCTCGAGCTCCGGAAGTCCAGGCTCATCTGGTGAGATGGATTGTGATCTTAATTCTTGGCTTGAGAATGGCATCGATACGACTGGTAGGTCATGATTCTAGAACCATGGGTGATCATTAGACTCACATATCTTCTCCGGCAGTGTCTTCCCTACCATACCCGAGTAATACCGGTGAAGCCGTCAAGATTGTTTCTCAAATGCTCCCTTACCCATGCACAGCAGATAAGAACGCAGCCGTCCACACGAATGATGACGTGTTCTGCTCCCTCATTCAGGCCGTACAACGGCGCATCCAATCGGGACAATCGCCATCATATATCAACATTACTCATGCAGTTCCCGAACAATTCAGTCTCTCAAACCTTCCGTACTCCCCACCC